GAGGGCAGTGTCACTGGCCCTCACATGTGGGATCTGAACCGGGGCCCTCTGGCATCCCAAGCGAGTTCTTAACCATCGCGCCACTCGGCCGGCCCTGGTTACAGCATTTTAAATGAACATGTGTCTACATTATAACTTGATAAATTGTTTTTTTTCTGAGGTAACATGGATAGTTACTCTTATAAACTATACCCTGCTTTTCTCTTAATATTTCTGTCTTGTCCATGTTATACATTTATTCAAATTGTAATAAATTAATATAATTCTTAAATTTTATTGATTGATTATAAATGTAATTCATGACTTATCTTCCTACGTGTAAACTGTTCCTCAGTATTTGAGCCTTTAAACCAAAACCAAGCCTTCAAACTAGGAAAGTCATAATCCGTAAACATTAGACATAAGGGAAACAACTCCTGGTATTCTTAAGGCTTTGTTAGTAATGAATATCTAAAGTTTTATTAAGTGAGGCTATTACTACATGACAGAACTCTGGTCAATAAAACTGTTGACATAATTTAATGGGTTAGTAAAGGATTCTTTTCTTGGGGCAAGTGAGGGAGACGGAATTCATATCCACGTCCAGTTCATGTCACCAAAACTGAGAAGGGGAACACATCCAAGATTTTTAGGTAAGAATCAAATCACTTTAAAATTATTTTCCTAATTAATATGCATGAGACTTTTCAGAGAAAGGATTAATATCAGAAATTAGTAAAAATAATAGTTAACGTTTATTGAGCAACTCATGTTTATTCCTCCCACCAATACAGAGATAGATCATATTACTAGCCCAGTTTTCTAATGAAGAAACAGGTTTCACAAGAATCTAACGGTATTGTATTTCGATAATGTTACAGTGCTGGTGGTAATTATATTGCCTGAAAGGCATCCATTTTTGAGTGGTTCTTCTATATATTTTTAGAATATATTCTTGCAATTTGAAATTGCAGCAATTTCTCATACCTCTATATAGGGTATTGACCTTAAACCTGTCCAGAGCTTTTTAGATATATATTCTAAGGTAGATCAGCTTTATGTAAATTAGCTGTTTTGAAATGTTTAAAATTGGTAATTAACTGTTTACAAACAAACAAAACACGGGCTGGCCAAGTGGCTCAGTTGCTTAAGAGCTCGCTCAAGAGTGCGAGCTCTGAGCAACAGGATCTCCAGTTTGATTCCCGGCCCGAGCTGAGCTGCTGCTGCGATGCCAACAGGTGGCAGGATGGCTCAGCTAAAAACAAAACAAAACAAAACACAAAACAAACAAAACACATATGATCCAAAAAGAAGGAAGCAAGTTTACTAAGTGAATGAACTATTTCTTCCATTTTCTAGAACTTGAACTTAGCAATAACAAAACAATTATGTAAAATTCTAGACACCTCTTTGAATGTAGGTAAATCTAATAATACCTGCATTTCCCTCTACTCCGAGACTAATAAAAATAGTGACAGACTTTATTCATAATAAACTTGTTAGATATGTATTGTCAGCTGATGTGTTATTCACAGACGTTGGCCAGCTAATGGATGGAACAGTGAATAAGGATGCTGGGTGCATTTTCAGCTCTTCCTTGGTCATTAGTTTAGCTTCTTCATTTTGCAATGTAAAACCCTGGCATGTTGTACGCCTATAACAGCTTGTTTTTAAAGATGCCAACTATGAGCAAAGGCTAAAATCTATTTACATTTTATTAATATGCTCTAACTAGTTTCTGTAAAGTGTTACAGCTCCAGTAGTTGATAATAATTTTGGACTGCTGATTATCAGCATTACTTTTCCCTTCTAGTAGTGTTATCAGTTACAAAGCAACTGTGTATATTTGTCCAAGTGGTTCTCAAACATAATGTGACATTTTGGTGTGTTGGTTAGTTTAGAGGTACATCGAAATAATTTGTTAGAATAGCAAAGTTGCTAATTATTTACTTTTGTAAAAATCCCTATAATGTTATCCTTTTAATATCACCTCCACTGCTTCCCTCTATAGGAGAGAGGTGGAGTTAATGATCTCTTGTTAGGAATTTCTGTAATTCTGAACTATGGGAAAATACTTCATGTCAATATAGAAAAAACGTTCAAGTGTCATAATTTCAATTTCTTCCCCTCCCCACACCTTTCTTACAGGAGCTTTGCCAGTTAATCAATCTTTGGGGAGAGAGATTCTGTGCTTTGGAGGAAAAGTGTGAAAATATCCAGAAACCACTTAATAGTGTCCAGGAAAATACAGAACAGTAAGCTGTTTTTAAATTCTATTTAACTTTGTCTGCCTGAGATTATTTCAGAATAAAAAGCTTCAAATAGTAAAAAAACAATGATCCCAATTTTTCATTTAACATTTTACTATGTTTGCTTTATGGTTCTCATTCTTTCTTTCACCCCAAATATTATATATATAGTCTTTCTGAACTAGCTGTGAATAAGTTATAGATGTAATGCCCGCTTTCCCCTAAATACTTCAGTGTGTATTTCCTAAAAACAAGAGTAGTGTCTTATATAACCATAGTACAATTATTTTAAATCAGAAAATTAATATTGATAACTATTACCTAATATACACATCTAATTCAAATTTTGCTAATTGTCTCACTGATGTTCTTTATAGGCAAAGAAAAAGATTTTCCTCCTGGTCCAGGTTTTAATCCATGACCACACATTGCATTTGTCTTGTCTCTTGAGTCTCCTTTAATCTGGAGCAGTTCCTTACTCTTTGTCATGACCTTTCCTTTTTTCAAGAGTATAGATTATTTAGTACAGTGTCCCTCTGTTGGGATTGTCCTGCATGATTAGTTGCAGTTGTCAAGAATACCACAAAAGTGACGTGTTCTCAGTGCATCTCCGATATCAAGAGGTACATAGCTGTTTGTCTTATAATTGGTGATGTTTTATCTAACTTTGATTACTGGGTTACTGTGTTGTCCTCCAGATTTCTTCACTGTAAAGTTACTCTTTTTCTTTGCAATTAATACAGAACTTTGAAACTATCTAAGTATCCCTTTCCTATTAGCATCTATTGATACACATATCTGTGTTTGTCAAATAATCTTTTTTCTAATTTCGTATCTTCTACTTTGTTAATTGGCATTCTGCTGAGAGGAAGAGTTTTCCCTTTCCCCTCCCATTTATTCTTATTCATGTTTATGTTAGCATGTACTCATGGATTCTTTTGTCTTCTGGGTTATTTATTTTAATGCTCAGATTATTCCAGTTTTGACTAGCGAGGCCTCTTCAAGTTGGCTCCTGTGTCATTTTGATATGACCTATTCTTTTTGAGCATTTACTTACTTTGTGGTATAGAAAGATGTTCTCAGCCCCAGCTCTAATCACATTTATAGAAACCAATATCTGGACACTAAGTATGCTCATTGCTACGGGGGTGTCATTTCTTCTAGTCTTCCTAGGTGGACACAGCTAGAAGTTGTGTGTGTACATGTACATGCATATAAATATCTTAATATTCCATATTTGTGCTCCCTTTTCAGACAGAAACCTGGATCCTATCCACAATATATTTACTTATTTGCTCAATTTATAATACACATTAAGTAATTTCACCATTTCTAATCCATACCAGTAATAAAATGTATACTTACTAATTAGAGCAAGGCTTGGCAAACTATGGCTGGTGGGCTGGGTGCCTGTTATTGCAAATAATTTTATTGCACACAGCCATTCCTATTTGTTTAGATGTTGCCTTTGGCTATCTTTGGTTGCCTTTTTACTGCAAAAGTACATCAAAGACTATATAGCCATTTAAGCCTAAAATATTTGTTATCTAGACTTCTAAGAAAAAGTTTGCTGATTCTTGAGCATTAGAGTTTAATGTTGTTTTATAGCCTCATTGCTTGCCAATCTCACATGCTTACCATATATTCCAGTCAGACTTATTTTTTCTTTTAGAAGTTTTATAATTTTATATGACCTAAATCCATGATTCATTTTGAGTTTTTTCCTTAAGGTGTGAGGTTTGTCAAGGTTCAATTTTTTGCCTGTGGATATTCTAAACTCAAGAGGAGAAGGAATTTCTATTATATTTACCCCTATTTTTGCCCATTAAATTGTTCCTACCTGAAGTTCCAAGCTTCCTTCTGTTGGGAAAACTTCCTTTAGTCTTTAAGGGTAGGTCTGCTGGCCACAAATTCTGTTTTCCTTTATCTGAGTATATTTTGATTTTCCCATTCCTTTTTAAAAAATACTTTCACTGGCTATGGAGTTCAGGATTGACAATTCTTTTTTTTCAGCACCTGGAATGCGTTGTTTCGTTTTCTTTCAGCCTCGATGAGAAATCCTCTGTCTTTCAAATCCTCTGTTCCCCTATAGGCAATTTCTCTGTAGCTGCTTTTAAGATGTTTTTCTTTGTTTTTAGTTTTCAGAAGTTTAATTATAGGTTTGCTTAGCTTCTTGAATCTGTAAACTTAATGCCTTTCACCAAACTTGGAAATTTTCATCTATTATTTCTTTGAACATTTTTTAGTCCTATGCCCTTTCTCCTCTGCTTTTAGGACTTTGATGACACAAATGTTAGATCATTTATTATGGTCATAGGTCTCTGAGCCTATAGATATAGTTTATTTTCTCATTGTTGTTCAGATAGAGTATTTTATTATTTGTCTTCAGGTTCACTGGTTCTTCCTCTGTCATCTCTATAACCTACCAATAAATCCTTTCAATGAGATGTTTTATTTTAGTTATTACATTTTTCAGTTTTATAATTTTCACTTGCTGCTTTTTTAAATATCTTCTATTTCTTGGCTAAGATTTTTTTTACCCAGAAGTGTTTTAAGTGCTCATTGAAACATTTTTATGGTGGCTGCTTTAAAATCCTTGTCTGATAATTCCACCATATGAATTATCTTAATGTTGGCACCTGTTATCTTTTCTCATTCAGGTTGTGATTTTTTTCACAGTGGTTATTTATTATATCTTGAACATTTTGGTTATTATGTAAGGAGATTCAAAATCCTATTTAAGTCTTCTTTTCTAGCAGATATTAACTCTGTTTTGGTTTAGCATGCAGGTCCTGGACCAGTATTGTAAGCTGTGGTTCTAATAACTATTTAATTTTTAGAGCCCCTGGCAGTATTATTTGTGAACTACCCATATAGGAAAAATATGTATTCTGCTTTTGATGGATGAGGTGTTCTAAATATGCCAATTATGTCAGAATTACTAGGAAATTACTAAGAGAGAGGTGTTAATCTCCAACTGTAATTGTAGATTTGTCTATTTCTCATCAATTTATTAGTTTTTTACATACACTTTTAGGGTTGATATCTCTTGGAGAATTTATCCCTTTATCATTATGTAATGTCTTTTTTTATATCGGATAATCTTATTTGTTCTGAAGTCTACTTTGTCTGAAATTAATGTAAATACTTCAGCTTTCCTTTGATTGCTATTTGCATAATGTATCTTTCTCCATTCCTTTACTTTTGGCTTAACTCTTTATATTTAAAATAGATTTCTTATAGACAACATATAATTGGGTCTTGCTTTTTCATCATATTTAACAATTGTGACTTTTAACTGGTGTGTTTAGACCATTCTCATTTAAAGTACTGATATAGTTGGATTAAATTATACCATTTTGCTGTTTTCTGTTTGTTTCATCATTTGTGCTTTGTTTCCTTTTTTTCTTTTCCCAATTTAAGTTGAGTGTTTTTATGTTTTCATTTTATCTCTTCCATTGATTTGCCAGTTGTACTTTTTAAATTACTTTTTAAGTGATTTTTCTGGTATTAATAATAGACTTCTTTAAAAATTTTAATCCACCCTGAAATAATTTGCTGTTTCATGTATAATGAAAGGACCATAGAATGTTATGTTCCCAATTTCTCCTACCCATCTTTAAGCATTATTTTTATATATTTTACTTTTACATATGCTATATACACCCAATACATTGTTACTCTGATTGTTCCATTTTTGTTTTAATATGGCTACTGGAAATTTTTATTTTTAAAATATTTTATTCAATTAATTGGGCGACATTGACTAATAAGATAACATATGTTGCAAGTGTACAGTTCTATAATACATCATCTGTATATTGCACTGTGTGTTCACCCCCCAAAATCAAGTCTCGTTCTGTCACCATATATTTGACCTCCTTTACCTTCTTCAACCTCTCTCCTCCCCCTCTGGTAATCTTATACTGTAGTCTATGTCTATGAGTTTTTGTTGGTTTTGTTTGTTTGTTTGTTGTTTTCAAATTGTATATGTGGCTTACGTTAAATTTCTGTTGAACAGTGCTACCCTAGAATTCTGGCTATCAGCTATCTTACTACCCAACTCCTTTCTTCTGTTTTTCAGTCTTGTTGGTCCTGTTCATTATATCATGTTCCATTCTGAACTCTTCTTGAATCTGAATCTAGAAAGTGTTTTCCCACTTTTTATTACTAATGTCTAGAGTTAAGGATTTCTGGCTTCTTCCATAGTTTTGAAAGGAATAGTAGAGTAAGAATAGAATGGGAAGGCAACTGTGATATACTTTCTTTAAGGCCTAGGCAAATCATTTTTTTCTATCTTCCTGGCATTGTCTATAGCAGTGTTTCTCAAAGTGTGGTCCAGGAACCCTTTAAAAGAATTGGTCAGGATTAGGGCCCAGGAATCTAGGTGAGGTTTATGTGTACTGAAGCTTGAGGTCCACTGCCTTTGGCATTTATTGTCATGGATAGATTTGTGTTGATAGGCTCGAAGCTTGCCACTTAAATTTTTCTTTCAATCATTTCCACTTAATCTGTAGTTGAACTTTGGTTTTCAACATATTTGCTTGCTCACTTGGTTTACTCACATGGTGTACCATTTCATGTAATAGAGGGTAACTTTCATTCCCGAAAGTTAAATTATGTGGCCCTGTTGATGACTTTCAATGCTATTATTGGAAACCTTACTGAAAGAAGCCACCAATAAATTTTGAATGTATATTCTAACTGACATTAGTTTTGGATCAGCTTATGTTTCTGTGTACTATGTGTGCTATATGTATAGTTTATCATACACCGATACTACTCCTTTATTAGAAAGCTTTATAGTTGACTTTGTCTTATAAGATACATAATTTTTATTTATTTATTTATTTATTTATTTACTTTTAAAGATTTTATTGGGGAATTGGGGGAGGGGAACAATGTTGGGGAGCTGGGGGAGTAGAACAGCCACGTTGTTGTCCTTCAATCTCAGTTGTAGAGGGCACAGCAAGCTCAGCTCCAAGTCCAGTCGCGCCACTCAGCTCAAGGTGCCGAGTTCAGTCTTTAGTTGCGGGCCAGCATAGCCCACCATCTCGAACCTTGTTAGGAGCATGTGCTCTCACCAGCTGAGCCATTCTGCCACCTGTTGGCACCTCAGCGGCAGCTCACTGGCCCATGTGGGAATCGAACCAGTGACACTGTTGCTCAGAGCTCGCACTCTTGAGCAAGCTCTTAACCAGCTAAGCCACTCAGCCAGCCCCAAGATTTATAATTTTTATGATTTATTTTATGTCATAGGCAAGGCAAAACTGCTTAAGAATAGAATGACTGACTAGACAGTAGACTAGAGGCTGTAGGAGATACCCTTAAGTAACTTAATCTACTAGGAGGAATAAAACACATAGTCAGATTTCATTTTAATAAAACTGTATGGTTAATACTCTAAAAGGTATACAGTAAGGCATATTTGGAGAAGGGCCAAGAAAAGCTTTATGAGAAAAGACATTTTCAAAGGTAATTTAATGGCAGATGTGATGTCAGTCTGCTGTGAAAAGACACTGGCCAGAGCATCTCTTCTCAGTGTGGAGGACTAATTAAGAATGTGGGCTCTGAAGCCAGACTGCTCAGGTTCGAATATGCCATTTTTGAGCTGTGTGATCTTGGGCAAGTTATGTATCTTTAGAATCTTAACTTCCCATTTTAACAATGTTGTTCTCTTTTCCTATAGGAAATCTAAGGATTTAATCAGCGAAACAACTTCTCACAGTACAAAATTTTGTGCTGATTTTGATGACTTGTCACAGGAACTCAGACAAATGAGCCAAGAAGGTACACAGTTGGTTGAAGAGTCTGCCAAACACTGTGATAAACTCAATAGCAACCTTGAAATAACATCTCAAGAGACTGAACAGAGATGTGAGGCTCTGAACACAAGCACACTTTGTTTTGCTGAACAGTGGGTATCTTGCTTAAATAAAAGGAAAGAGGAAATTCAGAACTTATTGGAGGTAATAACTTTGTAACTGGAACCTACTTTGGGGAAAATAGTAATAATCAAAAAATTAAATATTCTTGTCTAAGAAGCAGTTTCAAAACAAATGACATTTTAAAATATAATGAATGACTTCAGTCTTTTTAAGTATAATAGTTGGTATGCTTATGCATGATCTTGTTTCATGTATATGTCTCCTAGAACTCAAAATTATTTAACATTTGTCTGATCTGTTCTGTATCTATCCTTGATTTTTGATTCTTAGTTCCTTCAGTTAAGGGCCTCTGTCTTTTGATATATAATAACTTCCACTTATATATGCTTTTTACTTTTCTCCAGAACATTCAAATCTGTTATTACTTTAAGTATTTAGGATATTGTTCTGGTTGCTCAAAGGATACTTGACAGGTTTGTGGGTTTGCTTGAACATAATACTTGCATGAACCGTTTGTTGACTTGGTTTTTCTTTCTGTGCAATAACAGAATTTTACTAAAATTCTTAGGAATGAGGAAAAATAATTTAAGTATTTTAAGCTATACAAGCTATTTTCACTGAAAGGAACAAGGGCTAATGGAGAAATAGCTGATTTTAGGTTGATGCAGGAAATACACCAGATGAGCCTAGAGATCTTGCCATACCAGACATTAAGGAAGCTATTAAATATTAGTGAGGTTGTATCAAAAAGACTTAGGAGCCAACCTGATCAATCTCCCCTGTTTAAAAATTTTATAATTTAAGCATCAAAAAGAATAATTGCTATGATATTTTAAAATACATCAAATATATTAAAACTCACAAATTCATAAAAATTGTATAGGTCTCTGGATCATGCTGGGGAAGCAATGCATTATTCTGAAAACTGGTATATAAAAGGAAATAATTGAGTATCCATCTGTCTTTCTTGAGAGAATTCTATCTTGGTTTAGCAGGGTGTAATGGATGAAGAAAAAAGTTTGGGTACTATACCCGAACCCACTGATTAATCTTAACATAAGAGACACAACCAGGCATTATATGCTTTCGGCACCACCTATGAAATATCCTTGCCAAAAAATTAAACTTAATTTAGATCAAGCTTTTGGATCTACTTAGTTTGTAGAAAATACAGAGGACAGACAAACATACGAAAATACAGCATAAAGATGCAATTGACCAAATCCAGATTTTGAGATATTCAGTAGAGCAAAGACCTGGTTTCTTCAACAACAAAAAGTTTTTTTCAAGGAGAAAAGTATGAGGAAGGGTAAACTTACATCGAAAGATTGTTAAGACTACAGGGCCTTAAGTCCTAGTTTGCCTGGGATGTCCTTGTTTATTACATCTGTTGCTCTGGGGTAATTATTATTAAGAACGGCCCCTTTTACCCTGAAAAGTATTCCAGTTTGGATGATAAATTATATAGTTACCTACTTAGGACATATCAACCAAATCTAATGATAATTCTGATCCAAACACACTAGTTGTGAACAGCATTTGAAACAAACTGTTGAAATTTGCACACTAATTAGACATTTAATATAAAGAAATCAATGTTAAATTTCTTTGATGTAAGAATGGTTTTTAAAAAGCTCTTAGAGGTGTATACTGAAATAGATGGCACAGGATTTGCTTCAAAATAATCCTGAGGGGAGAAGGGTAAATGGCCAGTATTGTTTGATCTATACCCTAAATGCTGAGGCTGGGTAGTGAATACAAGCGGGTTAGTTATACTATTCTCTCTACTTTTGCATGTGTTTTTAAAACTTTTATTATGGAAAATTCCAAGGTAAGGAGAAATGATATATAGAATAAAGCAGTGACAACTTCAATTTTAATAATGAACGCTCATTTGCATCATTTACAGGTTGTATACCAAGATTGTGAGGCTTCAAGTTCAGAGATTACTGAAAAATTAAGTGGACATAAAGCAGCTAATGAGAACCAGCGTAACATTTTCCTTGATCAGATAAACATTGATGAAGAAAAATTAATGCAACAAAATCTAGAACTTAATGAAACCATAAAAACTGGTTTGACTAAGCTTAATTGCTTTCTACAACAGGATCTGAAACTGGATATCCCAACAGGTACTTTAACAGGAAAATAGAATTGTTAAAATTTTTGAAGTTGAATTCAACCTTATACAGTGCAAATGTTCAGAAAAACTAGGTCCTGCCATTGCCTAGTAAGAATTTATTATCTCATGTTATCAACTTAAATATGGAAAAATTGGAACCCTAAAACAGCTTTAATGAAGCATTAGATGTCATGATATAGGTGACATAATCCTAGAAATTTGGACATCACAATTCAGCAAAATTTTACAAACATTCAGGAACTGGCTTTGTTAAGAGAGGACATTTTAAAAACAGCTAAAAAGAAAACCAACCAACTATTTATCTAGCACTGTTTGTAAAAGGATATTTTATACCAAAAAATAATAGAGGAATGTAATTAAATAAATGGTTTAATGCAAAGCTCACCACATTTTGCATTTTCTTATGTGTACCTCTCATTTTGTTGTGGGCTGTTAGATTGACATTTATGAATCACCATTTTGGGAGGTCACTGGTGGCAAATATCGGTGTAGACTATAATGATTCAGGGAAACCTTCATGGAACAAGGTATGGAACAAGCTGTTTAGCACAGGATGAAGAGTTATTCACTGAATTGTGGTAATGGTTGTACACCCTGGAAATTCACTAAAAAAAATCATTGAGTAAATTTTATAGTCTGCAAAATAAAAGCTTTTTAAAAATCAATTATAAAATAAGTTAGTGCCAAAGGATATTAATTTATTTTTTCCTCAAGAGTCATGTAATGGTTATTGTCCACTTTTCAATAAAATTAGGAATATAAATGTTAAATGAAAAGGCAAGTGCCCATGTAAATTATGACAGCGTGTGTTTATTATGAAGAAATTTACTGGTTAATATTTAGCTACCACCAAATTTACAGTGAAATGATTATCCCTATCAAAGTGATCATGTTGGGAAAGCTGTACTCTTATTCCAATAATGCTGCCATTTCTCAGAACACTCTGGCTCCTTTTAGAGCCCACAACACATCTTTTGTACCTCCTCAGGGATAGAAAATTTCATGCTTTGTGGTAGGTTGAATCTTGAAAACAATCAAGTCTATTTAAGATCAGTTGTGAAGTTAGGAAATATTAGTTGTAAGCAATGTATGCCCGACAGGGAACAAGACTAAATCTGATTTTCGTATGGTAATTGTTATCTTTTTGGAATGCAAAGATTCATTGGGAAGTATAGGTTGTAGCATTAAAAAAAATTCTTATTCCTATCCCACACTTCAATTTTTCCCACTTACGTAATGTCCACTAAAGGTACAACACCACAGAGGAAAAATTACTTGTACCCATCAACACTGGTGAGAACGGAACCACGTGAACAGCTCCTTGATGAGTTGAAAAGGAAACAGCCTGAGCTGTTAATGATGCTAAGCTGTTCAGAATACAACAAAGAAGACACCAGTCAGGTAAAATTTAAAGAATTATAACTGTCCCATAAACTCTTAATATCATCGACTTCATGTGAAAATTTTATTCTTTGCCCTTCAATCATACTCTGTCTCATTAATGATAGTTATCTGAACCGTAAGCCTGTTTTTTTTAAAGGTTTGTATGTATGTATGTATGTATGTATGTGTGTATGTATTTATTAAAACTTTATTGGGGAACAATGTGTTTTTGGGGGGAACACTGTGTTTTTTCCAGGACCCATCAGCTCCAAGTCAAGTTGTCCTTCAGTCTTAGTTGTGGAGGGCACATATCAGCTCCAAGTCCAGTTGTTTTCAATCTAGTTGCTGGTGGGCGTAGCCACCATCCCATGTGGGAGTCAAATTGGCAGCCTTGTTGTTAAGAGCGCACGTGCTCTCACCAGCTGAGCCACCTGGCTGCCCAAGCCTGTTTCTTTTAACCTGGCCATTTTTTTTTATTATTAGACTAATGGATGATAATGATATCTGATATTTATGTTGTGCTTATGTGCCAGATACTGTTCTAAGCACTTTATATGGAAATATACAGGTACGTTTACTCAATTCTCTCAGTAACCCTGTGAGGTTGTTGCTGGTACTAGCCCCATTTTACAAGTGAGGAACGTAAGAATTATATTGTCCCAAGTCACAAGGAGGGAGTTGGAAGTAGAACCTAGACAAGCTCCACAATCTGTGCTCTTGAATATAGTAATTATAAGATAGTTGGGAAATTAGAACAAAGAAGAAAATAAACTGTAATCCCATTTTTCTGCAATTTCCACTTTTAACATTTTATTATAGGTACTTCTCTATATGAAAACATTACGGATTTTTTTTTTTGAGGGGGAGGCTTTCTACCAAATTTGTTGAGGTTTAACTTGTACACAATGGATATTGTGTTATTTTCAGAGAAGAAAACTGCCTTTACTTTTGGGAAGATTTTTTAAGTCCTAGGATTTAATCACTCATCCAGCTTCTTGTTTTAGGACTCAGATGAAGAAAAGGCAGTTATGGAGCACACTGTCAACGAACCTCTGAGTCAAGAGCCATCTGTAGATACCAGTGTGGATTGTTCATCGAGCGGTGGGGTTCCCTTTTTCCAGGTACCTGATTATATCCTATAACCCTTCATATCTGATGTCAGTCAGTCATTTGCTATTCAGTATAAAAGCATTACTCTTAGTAGGTGGAACAGAATATTTTCAGTCATTCTTTTGGGATGGCATGTAAACTTTCCTGATTTATATTATTTACACTAATATGATGATTGATCAGGGGTTTTCTGTAGGATAAATCAAGGCAAAATTTGACTTAATCTCCATCCTCAGTACTACTCTTTTCTGCTTCCTATATGCTCAGAATGGATACTGAGAGCAGCTGTTTCCATTGGCTCCACCTTGACATGGAAGCCCTACAGTCCATCTCTGCCCATAATCAGACTTTGAAGGCTGTGAGGTTTAAAGAATTGAGAGAACAACGGCCCTCAGATTATGTTAGTGATTTCTTCCGCCTGAGGCTTTGTTCTCATGACTATTTCCCCATGTTTCCTGAGCTCCTTGCCTGCCTTGATCTTGTGCAATTCAATTCTGTGACCTCTCCTGCCTGCTTTTAAACACTGTTGGGAGTAGGGCACTATAAACTGCCTAGCATCTTTCCCGCTGTTTCGGAGACATGAGCCTAGACAGTTTGTGAAGTAAGGATTCTCTTCTCTAGGACACCGATGTCCCCCTCTTATAGTTGAAGTGCTGCCTCTGATATGTATATGCTTGTACCTGTCCTTAGCAGACTTACAGTTCTTTCCACCAAGGTCTAATTTAAGCTGTTAAAGTTTCTAGCTCAGATTCTATTACATTCCTCTCTGTCTGCCTCAAGGCAATCTTATCCCCACATTCTTCCTACCTTTTGCTTTATTCTTTATTATTAAAGAACTCTCTATATATTCCTTTCCATTTTTCAACCTCCTCTTCTATCTTATAAAGTTAAGAAAAGGGGGAAAGATAAGAGAACCTTAGTGACTTCATCACTGATTGGAAGTCCTCCCATTGTTACTGTTCAATTCATTTTGAAGGACAGGCTTAGTGGTTCAGTTTTGGCAAAGAAGTCCCTACAGTACCAAAAAAGATTTGGGATTGGATTTCAAACCTTCAGCTGAAGCCCGGAAATTAATTTTTCCCTGATAGCAGGCTGATGTGGGGGTGTTTTCTGGGTTTAAAACTAAAGTAGGCTTAAGATTTTTCTCAGCATTGATGACTGGGTCTGCAATGAATGTCATCTGTCTTTTAAAGCTCTCTATGGGCAAGTACGAGGATTCCCATGAAATATAATTTCCAAAAGAGAAATATGAAATAAGTTTAAATAAAAAATACGGTTTTTTTAAAAAGTGTCTTGAAGTAGTCCATATAGCAAATTCTTTGCTTAAAATAGAATTGCCTTTTTTTGCATGCTAGCAAACCTTTGTTTCCCTACTGCAGGATTTCTCCACAGCAGCACTATTGACATTTTGAGCTGGATCATCCTTTGTTGTGGTGTCCTGTGTATAATATAATGTTTAGCAGCATCCCTGGCTTCTACCCAATAGAAGCCAGTAGCACCCGCTAGTTTTAACAACCAAAAATGTCTCCAAGCATTATGAAATATCCACTGGGGGAGGGGGTAAAGTAGCTCTCTGTTGAGAAGTACTGCCCTACAGTAAAATCTGTAATTATTCCTTGGAATATCATAGACAAAATTAATATTTCTTTATTAGCATTTTATTAATATTGTATATAATGTATAATCATATATAATTATATAAAATAAGTATATATAACATTACATAATTATAATATATAATTTATAATGTATTACATATTATATATTAATATTTATTAATATTAATATTTCACCCCACTTCTTCTATTAGCGGTAAAATGAAGCAGGCATTCATTTCTACTGGCCAGACAAATAGTGGGCTCAAATTTGTGCTGAGCCTTTCCGGAAGATTTGTACATTTAATTTATTTCCTATAACCCAGAGAATTTTGAAAATAAGAGTATAGCTAATATGTATCAAATGTTACTTTATATTGACTTTTAATTTCTCACCTTAAATCCACAGCATAAAAAGTCACATGGAAAAGACAAAGAAAACAGAGGCATTAATCCAGTGGAGAGGTCTAAAGTGGAAGAAACTACAGAGCAATCGGTTACAAAGACCAGATTACCTCTACGAGCCCAGATAAATCTTTAGTGAACTTGAGGGTTGGTAATTTTATTTTTAAGAAAAATGAAAAATAAAGCCTGTAACCCCAGAACATAAGCTTTGTGTACAGATTAATAACAAATAGAAAATATTAAGGCAATACTGTAAATTGAGTTGAATTTAATATGTCTACCCATTTTTTTCTGTCATCCCTGTAGTTTACTGATATTAAATTGAGTTTCCTTTGGGATTTGCATTGAGTTAATAGGTATCTCTAGTTTTTGATAAAAATAGGTCTTTCATAACAAGTGAAAATAATTTTCTTGTCTATTACTAAATAGTAAATATATAGAAGCTGTACTATTCTTCTAGGCTTGAATTTATATAGGTAAATATCACCAATGCTTGGTCTTGGGAAGGACCATCTCCTTTCATTTCTTGCTATGACTGAATTATGTCTATATTTGCTTGCCTCCTTCCCTAGACTTTTCCATTCTGCCTTCTCAGCTCACGTTCTCCCTTTTTATTTGTCAACGAGCCATTTGTAGAGCTACAAAATGGTATCCATTCTTACTATGAGCTAGCCAAAATTTTACCTACATGTCTTTAACACTTTTCTATGGTTGTCTCTAAAATTACTGTCAACAATAAACATAATCCTAGAAGTTCCTTTCAATATCTTTAATTTGTTTTCCCGTAGATGTGAAAGCATTTCATTCCTTTATGAGAACTCACACATGATCCCCTACAGAGTTCATAAAAAGCCAGCTTCTCCAGAATATAGACTGAGGTTGTGGGAGAACTACCTCTGATTAATGGCTATGTGACCCTATTTTGAGGCCTGTGTCTTGTGCAGTGGTTTAGGGCTTTTTGAAGCTATTAATTATGAGTATAATTTGTATTCTTTTTTTTTAACCTGATGAAACATTTTATTGTTCTTTGTATATAATAAAATATATATATGTATATTTTTTTCTATTGAAATCTTAACCTTTAGAAGGGCTCTTACAAGTTTGATCTGGCAACTGGATTTGTGGAAGTTGAGATGTTTCAGCATAAAGAACCAAAACAAGGAATACAATACTCACCCATTATCCATGATTTGCATTTGTAGTTTCAGTTACCCACAGTTAACCACGGTCCAAAAATATTAAATGGAAAATTCAAGAAATAAACATAAGTTTTAAATTGCGCGCTGTTCTGAGTAGCATGGTGAAATCTTGCGCCGTCCTACTCTGTCCCACCTGGAATGTGAACCATCCCTTTGTCCAGCACATCCATCGTGTATACGCTACTGGCCTGTTAGCCTGTTATACTTAGTATAATAGCAATCTTTGTATCAGATTGACTTATCAGTACAGCAGTGCTTGTGTTCAAGTAACCCTTATTTTATTTAATGGCCCCAAAATGCAAGAGTAGTGATGCTGACAAATTGGATATGCCAAAGAGAAGCCATAAAGTGCATCCTTTAAGTGAAAAGATGAAAGTTATCAGCATAATAAGGAAAGAAAAATACGCTGAGATTGCTAAGATCTACAGTAAGTGAATTTTCTACCCATGAAATTGTGAAAAAGGGAAAAAGGAATTTGTGCTAGTTTTTCTGTTGCACCTCAGACTACAAAAGTTACAGCCATAGTGTATGATAAGTGCTTAGTTAAGATGGAAAAGGCATTAAATTTGTGGGTGGAAGACATGAACAGCAAATGAGTTGTGCCAGAAAGCATTGAGCCTATACGAAGACTTGAAGGAATCCCCTGAAATGAATGACACCAAGCCATTTACTGCAAGTAAGTGTTGGTTACACATTGAGGAATAGGTTTGCACTGAAATATGTATATAAAAATTACTGAGAGGCTGTGTCTGCCAATGAAGAAGGTGCTGCCACATTTCTGGAAGAGTTAAAGTTGATTAGGTTTGGTACTATCCACAGTTTCAGGCATCCACTGGGGGTCGTGGAATGTTTCCCCTGCTGATAAGGGGGATGTATGTGCAAAGAATAAATTTTGTGCCCACATCAAGTTAAGTATAAATTTAGAGAGGTTTGACTTTGATAACTAAGTAGAACCAAGCCCTATTAGAGAATTAGAAAATGTGCTACTTCAAGGAATAAATTTACCTTGCAGAAGTATTATCTTTATATATATATATATATATATATTTTTTTTTTTATTTTTTTTTTTTTTTTTTTTTGCAAAATTGGATGTCAACATAAGCTATGGATAATATCTAATAAACTGCCCTCAGTAGAGCCATGATTAATACATTTGGTTTTAACTTTCTTACTCCATTATTTCTTATTTGGCAGTGGGTATATATACAGAGGTAAGCAAATTGTATTAAAATTCCCAAAATAAACTATACAAATACCACCAAGGAAGAAGGGCCGTGGTAAACATCCCAGGCTTTCAGTTCCACTCCAAAGGGCTACACCTTAGTGTAAGATTAATGAGAAATAGATTGGCACTTAGAGGGCCTGAAGTCCAGCTTTAAGTCATCTCATTTCCTGTTTTAAAGTTATCTAGGAATGCTAATGCAAGTAGTTTGCCTGACAGAAGCAAAAATAAATCTGGAGAATTTAAACATCCAGAGCCTTGAATTGGCTCTACAAATTTTCATATACAGTGTCAAGCACCCAGAAAATAACTATTGGCAAAAACAGGTAGCTTTAAGGACCCATTCCTCCTCAGAAGTAAAAACATTCAGAAATAACTTCGTCAGAATTCTGGAAAACAGGATTATAGCAACCAAATGCTGAATCAAGAAAAAGGAAACCTAAAATGTAGGAAAGCTTTTTGGTGTTTTATTTGCTCTTATTCCATTCCCTTTCCCAGCTCTGTGGTGGTCTTAAAGATAGATAGCAGCCCACCTTTTTAGAGTGGTCCCAAAGAAGCAGAGACCTTTATCTCAAAAAATGGTTCTATCTAGAGCAACCTGAAGGACAAGCTAGGGCACTTGCCTTTGTGTCATCTCAGAACTCAGGCTGGAAAAAAGGCAGGCATTTCTTGAAAATAGTGTAGGGCAAATGAACAACCTGCTGCTACCTGGGGCACAATGTTACAGTTGAGGTAAATAAAGGAATACCTAAAGCCTGAGATGACAAAAATGAGGAGAGGATCTCTTAAGTGAAATTAGGCCATTCAAAAACTGCAGGGGCCGACCGAGGGGCACGTTGGTTTGGAGCTGGCTTGGGACACCAACTTTGAGCAACAGGGCCCTGGTTTGGATCCCACATGGAGGCCATTGACACTGCCTTCTACAGCTAAGATGGTGAACAACAGCTCAACCTGGAGATGGGCTGCCGTGAGTTGACGGCGACGGCGTAGGCTGCAGCCCCTGCTGCAGTGGGTTGCCATAAGCTACCGTGTGTGGCTAGCAGCCAGCGTGAGCAGCTGGCAGCCGGTGTGAGCTGCCAAGAGCCGCCTTGAGCGGCCATCCAGAGGCCGGCGACCCGGGAAGAGCACAATGATGGTGCCAACATGGGCCAGTGGGGCAATGTCCTCCACAATTAGACAGAAGAACAAAAGGACAGCAACATGTCTGTTCCTCTTCCCCCAATTCCCCAGCACAGTTCCCCTCCCCCAATTCCCCAATAAAATCTTTAAAAAAAAAAAAAAAAAGGGAAAACTGGGAAATTGAGAAAGCCACATATGTTTAGGCCAAGTAGCATGTTTAATAGAGGAGACCTGCAAAGACCCTAAGCTTTCACTGCTGGCTGATCTCTAGGCTCAGCACAAGCAGGAAGTGAAGGCTAAGGCAGATTTAAAATGGCCTGGCTAAGCATTGAAGGTGTGCTCCAACATAGCCAATATGCAAAGACTGAGAGGATCTTTTTTTTTTTAAAGATTTTTTTTTTAATTGGGGAATTGGGGGATGGGAACAACAGCGCTGGGGAATTGAGGGAAGGGGAACAGACAAGTTGCTGTCCTTTTTGTTCTTCAGTCTAGTCGTGGAGGACGTTGTTTCACTGGCCCAAGCTGGCACCATCATTGCGCTCTTCCGGGCGAGGCAGATCAGTCGCCGGCTTCTGGATGGCCACTCACTGCATCTGCTGGCCGCTCACGCTGGCTGCTGGCTGCACACGGTAGCCCATGGCAACCCACTGCCACAAGAGCTACAGCCTACGCCGTCGCTGGAGACTCATGGCAGCCCAGCTCCAGGTTGAGCTGTTGTTCAGCATCTTAGCTGTAGAGGGCAGTGTCACTGGCCCTCATATGTGGGATCCGAACCGGGGCCCTCTGGCATCCCAAGCGAGTTCTTAACCATCGTGCCACTCGGCCGGCCCGATCTTTTCTTTTTTATGATTCCTGTTTTATTTATATTTTGGCCATTCGCATTAAAGGAAATCTGTCAGCACACTAGGTGAAAACAAGCAAAAGGAAGAGACTTTGGAGACTAAAAGTCACTAAAACTACAGCTCACAGCAAGCAACAAAAACCCTGAGGCATGAAAACAACCTGATCCCAGAGTTGCCACATTATAATATTCAAAATGTTTCATTTTTAACCAAAAACTAAGAAGTATGCAAACGAAGTATGGCCCACTCACAGAAGGAATTACACAAACCCTTCCTGAAGAAGCACAAACATTGGACTTTAAATCAACTCTCATATATGCTCAGAGCTAAAGTAATTCAGGAGAACAATGTTTCAAAAAATGGAGAATATCAGTAAAGAAACTATAAAAAGAACCATACAAATTTGGAGCTGAATGGTATAATAAATAAAAGCCACTAGAGGATTCCAATAGCAGATGTGAGCAGACAATAGAGCCAGTGAACTTGAAGCTAGGTCAATTGAAATGGTCCAATTGGAGGAGCAGAAAGAAAAAACAATGAAGGAAAAATAAATACAGCATAAGAGACCTGTAGAGCACGATGAAGCATACCAAAAATGTTGTACCAGAAGGAAAGGAGAGAAAGACGGGCCAGAAAGACTATTTGAAGAAATAATGGCTGAAAACCTCAAATTCTTTAAAACACTCTGAATCTATACATCCAAGAAACTCAACAAATCCAAACAGGATAAACTCAAAGAGATCCACAACAAGGTACATTGTAATCAAACTGTCAAAAGCTGAAGACAGAATCTTGGAAGCGACAAGAATGTAGTCTTCAGGGAAATGCAAATCAAAACCACAGTGAGATACCACTTCATATCCACAAGGATAGTTATTGTGAAAAAGAAAAGTGTTGGTGAAGTTGTTCAACAGGAACCCTCATACATTGTTAGTGGGAATTTAAAATGGTTAAGCCTCTATGGAAAAGTCTGGTGGTTCCTTAAAATGTTAAACAGAATTACCATATGACCCAGCAATTCTGGGTATCTACCCAAGAGAAAAGAAGAAAATTCATCCACACAAAAATTTGTACATAGAACACCACAAAAATGTTCATAGAAGCACTATCACAATAGTCAAATGATATAAACATCCTAAGTTCATCAACATATGAATGGATAAATAAAATGTGGTATATACAATGGATTATTAGCCATAGAAATGAAATACTGATACATGCTACTCTGTAAATCAATCTTGAAAATGCTGCTAACTGAAAGAAGTCAGATGCAAAAGTTCATATATTGTATGATTCCATTTATATGAAATATGCAGAACAGGTGAATTCATAGAAACAGGTTGATGTTTGCTGGTTAAAGTGGTGAAGGGGAGAGTGACTGCTTAACAAGTACAGGGTTTTTATTTGGGAGTTTGGAAATGTGTTGGAACTATTAATAGATAGATGTGGGGGTTGTACAACATTGTGAATATACTAAGTGCCACTGAATTGTGTTCTTTAAGATAATTCATTTGGGGGCGACTGGTTAGCTCAGTTGGTTAGAGCTCAGTAATCATAATACCAAGGTTGCTGGTTCGATTCCCACATGGGCCACTGAGTTGCGCCCTCCGCTACTAGATTGAAACAACTACTTCACTTCAGCTGATGGGTCCTGGAAAAATGCCCTCCACAACTAGATTGAAAAAACTAGTTGGCTTGGAGCTAATGGGTCTTGGAGAAACACTGTTTTCCAATAAAATTAAAAAGAAAACAAAAACCAAAAAACCCCGATTCATTTAAAAAATTGAGATATAATTGGCATGTAACATTAGTTTCAAGTGTACACCATGATTCAATATTTATACATTGCAAAATGATCAA